TTATTCTTTTGGCTCAGACCAGTAAACACGAGCCAAACTGGGCACCACAATTACAGTGCACATCAGCCTCTAATTGGGAGAATCACTTCCACAAAGGCTCTGACAGTGGATCACAGGCATGTGCAGGTAATTCTCCCTGCACCGAGATTACCGTGATTAGCGCAGGTCTATAAGGGGAAAACTAAGAGGCCCCTGTGGGATTGTAGCAGCTCACTCATGCTCTGTGCTTATTAGTGCGGTGATTCACCGCAGTGGAATGGGTACGCTGAGATTGTCACCTAATAGGGGGTATATCCATACAGCCTTATCTAAGAAGTTACATAATCACGCTAATGTGGAACTAATATAAAGGAATTTATGCCTTAAAATGAAAGAGAAGTGTATTTCCCTGAGAAATAATCCACAAAGAATGCTGGGAGACTCCCAGTGAGAACCTTAACTGGCCCAAACTAGGCAAGTGAAATAAAAAAGCAAAGGACAGTGGCTGTATGCGAATTATTTTGTGACTTAGCCAGGCACCCGCAGACCTGCCTGTGCGTGAGGAAGAGAGGCCTCGTAGGTATTCGGCGTGGGCAGAAAACTCCAAACCTGGAGTCTTTCCTGCCTTCCTGCTTCTTTCTATGGGGTCTTCTGCAAAGCCTCACAGTTCTCCCATTGCAGAACTCTTTTTCCCCTCTAGGCAGCGAAAGAATCCTTCCACTCTTGCAATTCTGTGAAAGAAATCTCCCCATGTGAAGTGCCCCATCTTCCCTGGACCACGCTCCTCAGCATCCCACCTGCCCCAGGATGCGGGAGAAGTAAGGAGGTTCATGCTTAGGAGACTGGACGGGGGGCCGGGGGGGGGGGCATCTCAGTACCTGTCACCTGGCTGGGCCGGGCCTCCGGTCCAGGCGCCAGCCCCAGCCCCCACCCCCACCCCGCCCTCCGCACCTCGGACCCGCAGGCCGTCCTCCCCCGCCCTCCGCCTCCCGCCACGGTCCAATGGCCGAGGGCAGGGCAGCTGAGCAAGTAGCAGCCCGGCCGGATCCCCGCCCTGTTCCCCGGCTCCCGAGCAGGGCCCTGCAGCCTTTAAATGCCGCCCGGCCGCGCCGCGCACTGCCACCGTCCCGCCGACGCTGCCGCCACCACGACCTCTGTCTCCGCCGGCCTCGGGCGTGCGCGCGCGTCCCCGTGTGCGCGTGTCCGCGTGCGCGCGGCCTCCTCGGACC